AATTGGTTTTATAATTTTGTCAAATAAGTCTAATTGACAATCTATTGACAAGTTATGAAGTCTACACTTCCTCAATACTGCAAACATAGCTTCTGTTGCTTGAGACACCAGGTATTTTTTGTTACAGGCATATCCACCTGATCTACTTAACATAAAACCAAGATATTTCAATTCCTTTACAATCTCGATTTCATCATTATTATAAGTAAACCTTAGATTTCTATTTAAACGACCTTTGGAAAAGATCATTATTTTTGTCTTCGATACATTTACTTTTAGTTTCCACATTTCGCAATATAGCTGAAAACTATCTAATTGTTTTTGTAAATCCCCTGGTGTTTCAGCAAACAGAACTGTATCATCTGCATATAATAAAATTGCCAAGTACAGATATATAGACAACTCATTTTGCAGAGTATCATTTACAGATTCTAAACCTTTAATACTTTGACCTTGTAAAAAATGTTCAAGGTCATTTAAGTAGTGAGAGAACTCCAACATTACATGGGAAATATTCAGATTTACAATTATTCAAAGCTATTCTGGATTTAATACAATCATAAAGATTAAAAATTACTCTAAAACATTTTCCGTTAATATTACAGTTTACTAATTTTTGCCATAACCCTGTTCGCAAAACCGAGTCAAAGGCTTTTTGAAAGTCAATAAATGCACAATACATTTTTTTTAAAAACTTATTTTTAATAATTCAAATAGAACATGTGTTATAAAGTTATTGTCAATTGTAGAATATCCTTTACGGAAACCAGACTGATTTTTGCAGAGGAGGTCAACTTGATCAGAGAATCTTCCCAACCTGTTATTCAAAATTGACGTGAAAAGTTTCTCCCTACAGCTCAATAGAGTAATTGGGCGATAATTCGCAGGATCAAGTTGATCCCCTTTTTTTTTATATATGGGCATAATATTCCCTTCCAGCCATATTGTGGGAATTATTCCCGTATTAAATATGTCATTAAATAATTGTACATATGTAGTAGCATAAATTCACATGTAGAGGAAATGTACTCGTTTACAATCAAGTCATTTCCTGACGATTTATTATTTTTCAAACCTTTGATACATTTCTTAATTTCTTCTGATGATATTGGTTGGTTTATAATGGAATCATCTTGATTGATGTTCAACAATAAATCATCGAAACTGTATTCCAAATCATCCGTAGAGTTAAGTTCTTTACATATCTTTTCTTATTTGACGAGTTTAAGATTTTCCAATATGCTTTTGGGTCAGATGACCGCATATTTTTTAATTTGTTACACAATTCGGTTCTTTACATTTTCATGCTTTTGTTTAACATTTTTTTTTTATAATTTTTCTCCGCTTTATATTTCTCTTCATCAAAAATACTTGAACCATATTTCTTGTACAATCATTTTGCTCACTGATAATTCTGTCGAGCAGATTTACAGTCTTGTTTAAACCAAGGCTTGTTTACATTTACATTAGTTTTCTTGGAGTTATTAGAGTTTCTAATACATGTAACTCCAAAAGTAGTTTTTGCAGATGATACAAAACATTCACATATTTCTTTCAAAGTATCATCCATAAAAGATAAGTTTACATTTTCAGTTCTGACATTACATAGTTTTTCATATATTTCATGCATTAATTCAGTATTAACATTTTCACAAAAGTCAAGTTTTTTTTCATTATCCCACTTTTTTGGTTTTTCACATGAATCAGTTTGAGTTTCATGTACCATATTTGCATTTACAAAGTTTGAATTTAACACAAGTGAGAGTGGGCAGTGAATATCGGAAAATAAACTAGAAAAGTTTAATATACTAAAATCTTCAACCAACTGTAAACAATCAATTGTCGCAATACAATAATCGACAACACTTATGTTTTTACAGGTGTGTTTTCCGATATTTTTATCCCTGCCGACTCGACCGTTCATAATGTACAGATTATTAAATTTGCACATTTCACAAAGTAGATTTCCATAGTGATTTTTCTTTGTGTCCATGCTATCTCTATTAATTGACAGACCAATTTCTTCTAATTTGTATACATTTGATAGCTGTTCAATATATAAAGGATTTGTAAAATCATTCTGATTTTCTCCTTCAATATTTTCGAGAATACAATTCTCGTTTGCAACTCTGCTATTAANTTATTAATTGACAGAACAATTCCTTCTAATTTGTATACATTTGATAACTGTTCAATATATAAAGGATTTGTAAAATCATTTTGATTTTCTCCTTCAATATTTTCGAGAATACATTTCTCGTTTGCAACTCTGCTATTAAAATCTCCTGTCAAACAAATACAATTATGATTAACTGACATTGTTATTAACTCGTTTTCAAGTTCATTAAACGCATTTGCTGATGAATAATCAGAATTTTCTGGAGGTATACCACAAATAAGGTTTTCATTAATATTCAAAACACAGGCTTAAAGTTGAAACCACAAGCCCGAGGCTGTCATTTCCTAACAAACGGACAGCCACAGTGTCTCACCTGTGTACTGATTTACCTGTGTGTCTATTGGACAGATAATGGGCTGCATTAATTGACATGATTAATTGCCTTCACACAAGGTGTTCAAGATTAGGTACTGCCCACCAGAATCCCATGTGACCACAGGTGAATGGTCAGTGGGTGGTCATTGCCCATATATTCTCATATAGATATCATATTGAAAAGAAAAATATGTGCCAGGGTGGTTACATTGCCCTAGCAACCATCTTTAAATATGTCCAGGGACCTTTATACTGTCCCTGATCAGTCACTGTATGATTAAAACTTGAGATTCCCGGTGAAACTTAATTGATTCGATTTTTTATCGGTAAATGTATCAACTTATTTCATTTATGTACATGTATATAACTTTAACTACAGGTCCTTGCACCTTGCAATCATGGATTTTGTCATCATTTTAACAAGTAACAATTCCGTAACATTTTTTGTTACGTCAATTTTTGACGTAATCATGCAAAGACGGAATATAGAGCCATGCCATGATATAAGAAATTTCTGGAATTTTTATCTTTTCTTGTGTCTTTTGAATAAAACAAAGAAGCGAATTACTCTATTAATATTTTACAGAGAAACCTTTCATAAAAAGTATAAAATTATAGGAAATATTACCACATTTACCCATATCACATAACAGATACTGATACCCCATCCTAACACTACAATATTGATTTAAGGAATGATTTTTATTTTTTCAACATTTATGAGGTCATAACAACAATGGGTTTATGGACATATTGAATGAATCGCGTTAGCGATTCATGTAAAATATGTCCAAAAACCCATTGTTGTTATGACCTCATAAATGTTGAAAAAATAAATATCATTCCTTATATTTACATTGACGAATCCTTTCAGTGGATCGATATAACAACGAATAAAACAAATAAACAGGGTTTGTTCCTGCTTATACACGGGTGCAACGCAGTGGCGAGAACAGTGTTTTTTCGCGGGGAAATGTGACACTATCGTGAGAGATCTTAGCAACCGTCAACAACAATAACACAACAAAATGTAGTTCCATATTCAATGTTTATTTGTAGCACAGGACACGTGAATACGTGGATATTTCACAAAGCACAGTTCAATAATATTTTAAGATGTAAGAATTAAGCATCTAGGTCGGTCGTTCCGAGTGAGTAGTTTTTGTAGTGTATTACTACGCAGTGTGATCAGGTTACTATCGGTTCCCGCGTGCTGAGATTCTATGAACACCTGTGTTATGCATTTATGAATGTAATTTTTGTCAATGGGTCTAAGCATACAGAATGTAAATATATGAAAAGTGATGTGAATTTAACTATGATAAAGTGTACTTTTAAATTTTTCCCTCCGGAATAGTACAGCGCTATCTATAGATTGTTTATACTCACCAGAGATAGTGTACAAATTCTCTTTATACATGTATATTATGTTAAGTTGAAATTTTAAGTAATCAAAAAACAAAAAATATGAGTATCCTTGATTCGATATTAGGAAGTATGTAGTTGAATGATTGTTTCCTTTCTTTTACAATTTTCATATCACAAAGGAACCCATTTCATTATAAACAATTATTGGAATATGTACTTCAGTCTTTTAAACTTTGGTAAACACTGTAGTGAACTGGAGTTACCACTGAAGAGAACTGGAGTGCACTTCAATGTTTTTTCAAGTGCACACTTCGTACTGTTCACACCGTTTTTCCAGTCGTTGTAAGTCTTCGACTTGTGAGACCGTCCTATATCTTGTTGTCATCGATACTTTATGGTATGCGCATATTAAGTAAAGTTTGCTCCCAACTGTAAGTCTAATATAATTCCGTGGTTGTAATGCATGATTTGATCATAAATAAAGTATTTTTTTCTAGAATAGATAAAAGATTCATAGACGTTTAGTTCACGTCTGTGGCAAAAGAGTAACTATATGGTACATGTAACTTTCAGGTTTAAGAAATAAATTCAATAAAACTCTAGGTGTTGGTGCCCAGAAGTCGTTAGTATCAGAACAATTCTTAATTTTGGAGATCTCCTGGACATACCATGGACTTAAGATATTCAAACATCAAAGAGGTAAAAACATTGTACTTAATACGGAATTATTTTAGAGCTATCTAATACTGTGCCGGATTGTGTTATACATGATAATGAAGATCGTGCGTATATGAATCTTTAAAAATCCATTTTCCCTACTCACATTTGTTTCAGTTGGTAGGTAGGTAGAGATTATTTTTTATTTAGAAATATCATACTTTTTTATAAAAGTAAAACGTGGACAATACATGTAGCTCTCGAATAGCAAAACGGGGCACCTGATTTGGTCGAGGGGAGATAACTTGGATAGACCGTCTTTGATAAGAACTCTTTTCCGTAAGAAACCACAATTAGATAAGGGAATGTTTGGATTGTTTTCAGGACAACCGACTCATCATCTCTTCAGCAACATTTCAGAATGAGCCGTCCAAACGCATCTTCTTCGAAGTAAGTTGAAAAAAACCGTTGGGAATTGTAATTGAGTATTCAGTGTTTGCATTTTGCTGGACAATTTAATTTGACGACATATAACACGAAGTCGAGACATGTCCGTGCAAAACATTTCGAATTCGTTACTTCAGTAAATATTGCAAAAAAATGTAAATATCTGTTTACTGTACTGTACAGTATGCTTGGCTAATGATTTCAAATTAGGTTTAGCGGAAGCATGTGTATTTTCTAAGCTGCTTTACCATAACCGGTCTGTTTTATTTAAATATATACAGTACAGTATATATATTTTTTTAATCTGAAAAGATTCAAAGCTCTTAGTCATAGATAAAAAACTGTAAAAGATGTGTATTTATGAGGTTGCCTTAAAAGCGTCAGCTGTAGGGAATTTCTCTTTAGCTCAGCGGTAGAGTATCAGCTCGAGAGCATGTGGTCGCAGGTTCGAGCCCCAAGCGACGGCACTATCTTTATCACTATTTCTCGTCCTACTACAAACTGGTGCCGTGTGACCCTCCCCATTCAAGGTTGGAGAACCCTTGGTGGGGAGTCAAAGAACCTGGGTTGGTGTTTGAAAAAAGGGGGGAATAGTGTAAAAGATGTGCATTGATTAGGTTGCCTTACAAGCGTCAGCTGTAGGGAGGTAAAAAAAATGACCTTTAGCTCAGCCGTAGAGCGTTGGTGTGGAGAGCCAATGGTCGCAGGTTCGAGGCCTAGCGACGACAGTTCTGTCTAATAATCCTCGTCCTGCTAAAAAACTTCTACACTTCCTCCATGTACTAGAGACTCCAAACAAAAAACCCCAATCCATCTGCCTCATCACTTCTTCCACGAGAACAAGGTGAAATGTCATTCAAATTGTTGACTAAAAGAAATAACCTTCATCTTCGTTTCTGATACAGTACAACTGTTCTACATAAATTATTTCAAACCTGCTCTTCTAGATTCTGCATTTTTTTTTTCAAGAATATAGGTTTTAATTATTGTATTTGCTGCACACTCTCAGTCTCAGAATGATTATTAAATTATATATCTATTACTCTGTTGAATACAAATAGTCATTATACTTAACTGACATGCAGATGTTTTATGGGGCAGATTGCAACAATAAAAGATTTAAGAAAGCTGCGTTAATTAGGAAAAGTATAAGAAATTGGCCTCACTAAAGTTAAAGTAGCCATACAAGGAATTTACACCAAAACATATTAATATATATATGTCAACAAATAAGCGACTCCCAGACTAAGATAGTGGTAAATTTCCATGTGATATAGATAAGTGGGTGGTATATTGTCTTGATTAAATAAATATTGATGATTAACAGATAGCAATTAAAAGCTGACGCAGTCCTACCATCTAGTCTGGTCGGGAAATAGCACATGCATAGAACGATCTCACAAATTCATGATAACTGGTCCTGACCCAGTATTTATAGCATAAACCTTGAAATATAATTATTATAATTATTATTATTATTAGATGCATAGACCTGGATTAGATGCTGTAATAGTCTGAAGTATATACATATATGTAGTTTTTTCAAGTTTTGGCCTTTTTTCTCCTCAAAGTATATATGTTGTTATTAGGCAGACTAACATTCCATAATACAGTAGCAGGGATAATCCTGGAGGCGTTATGGGGCCATTGAATTGACCCCTCAAAACTGAAATTGACCCCTCCATGTTCCAATTTTCTTTGAATTTTATATAGAAAGACCCCTCTTAATTTTGAAATTGACCAAAAATGGCCACTGCTCTCAAATTCCAGGATTTTCCCTGATAATAGGAAAACATTCCCATGTTGATCAATATTGAGTTAAGACCAGGTGAATCAGTTAGATTTTCATTCTGAAAGGATCAGAATTCAAAGTTTATGTTAGGATTTCCTTGCAAATATGTAAAAATATATAGTTATTTTTTGTAAAATGATAAAAGATCCTTTATTTGTAAAATTTAATAAAATCAATTGTAAAACACACATGCTGATTTGTCATTTAGAATATATACAAAACAATGTGTGCCTCTACCTAATCTGAACATTCACCTGGCCCACTGTATGGGTTTTCTCCGGGTACTCTGGTTTCCATCCGCATTAAGACCCCGGGCCACTCACCCTAATATCCTGGGCAACATGAGTGATAGATATAAGTTGAAATAACTTGTTTCAATAATTGTTATAAAATAAATAAAGTTTATATGTAATCAGGTCATGGATTATTTATATTTATGTATTTATTGAGATTTTTGAACTCTTGTGTACATACTTTGTGAGGGGGTACAATTTCATTTTTGTACTGGTGGTACTAGCAAAGGCAAATTTTGCAAAATTCCTCAAACCTAGCTTTATTTTCATAGCAAATATGGAAAATTGTCACTAGCCCTGATATAAAATATGCTATATTCCAGGCCAAAAATTAGGCTAGTAGAATTGTCTGCCAAAGTTGATTAAGAATGATGAAACCTCTTACATTATTTGCAGTTGTTTTTCGCATTGTTCGGCTTTACATAGGCTACATTTGTGAGGACTGAAGGTCATGACCTCCAGGTTTTTACATTGCTGTGTAATCATTATAATATATATATGTGCATGTACATATTAACCTTTGAACTTCAACCTTTCATTTCTTGTTCGAAACAGCAGTGGATTATCACTAACGATGACCTCATCAGAGAAACAGGTGTAAGTTCTGAATATTTGACATTGTTTCGGTATAATCGTCCTATGTTGTATTTCGGACATTATGCACGGACCTACAGATCATCAGTGAACAATTGTTTGTTTGTTGTGTACAGACCCACCATAAAATACCTTGTTACCCTTGAGATCCACTTTATGTTGGTTATTTCATGTTTTTTTCACAAAAAAAATGTTAAAAATTGTATCCAACAAAATGTTTATGTCCAGACAACAATGTTTATGTCCAGACAAAAATGTTTATGTCCAGACAAAAATGTTTTTTTCACTGTTTTCATTATACCACCTTTGTTTAGTGCTTATCTGATATTTTGTGTAAGGGCTAATTTTAATCAGAAGAGTAATCACCTGAGAGAATGTCTTTTTGTAAACTTAGTAATTCCTTTTGCTAGCTTACCTACCCTAATAAGGTCTGCTGTTTCTTCCTAAAGGGTAGTTAACTGTATACCTGGTAGTTTTGTTGTAGCCAACCGACTTTACATGTCATAACAAACAAACAATTGTTTAAGGATGGCCTTGCCTCAAGATCGTGAAATAATCCAGAATTAAGTCCAGATTTTAATATTGTTTAGGTTTTTTCACCATATCAAATGTAATATATTCATGGCAGGGGTGTAAAATTGACTTGCACAACATCTTGGAAAACCAATTTTTAGGCGCAAGCAAATGCTATTCTCATTATGATTTCCCTTAGCAAGTTCATATTTTTGTTCATCTATGTATTTATGTATGAGAAGTAACAATGATTTGGAAGAATTTTCTGTTCAAATATCTAAGTAATTTTGTATTCCTACATGCTCTGGTATAAACGTATATGTAGGTACACCCCTGCATATGAACACTTAACTAATCTTTTGAAATTTGGACTTAAATCTGAGGCTGTTTCATGACCCAAGGACCTGGTGGTTGTAATCCCATATTTTACCTGCAATAAGCCTACCTTAAGGGTGTATGCTACCGTTCATCTTCCGTCCAACAGAATTTATCATTTTCAGAAACCAGTGAAATGTAGTTTATGATTGAATACATTATATACTTGGCTTTAAAAATGAATTTAAAGATAAACACCAAAACACATAACAGTCTTGTAGCTCTGGTTGTAAGATAATTAATTGTATTTATCTAACAATAATCCTATGCCTGGTAATAAGCCCATCCAAATCTATTGCAGTTTGGAAAAAAATGCTATTAAATTACTGGGTATATTTTATTGTCTTGTAATAAGCCTGACCCCCTACTTTGAGTAACAGATTATGCGTTTGGCCCCTGGGCTTTTTACCAGACAAATACAGTTGTTTTTTAGGTGAGATAACTCATACAGAAATCACAGAATTTTGAATGTATTTTAGGTATTATATACCATGAATCATTTTATCAGATTTTGTCAATGATATTAAAAGGGTCATAATTAACACCTTAATTTTTCCTTTTAATAAGCCCCTTAGCTTTGAGCTTATCACAGGTAGAGTGTGTTAATATTTACTATGTACAGGTACAATGTATATCTTAATTTGTCACGCTGCAAATAAATTTGGAAGAAAAAAAAATCCCATTTTGCAGGCTTCAGATTTTCATGTGCCAAGAGGAATAACTCTGACATCTGGCCATGGTTGTCATATGAAAACCAGGTTCCATCTAAAAATAGTTCAGAAATGGGTAACTGTTGGTTCGGTTTTGTGGAATTGTGTTTTCTGGATATTCTTAATTAGAATCATAGTTTATTCAGTTAGAAAAAAATAAAAAAATTGTTGCTATCAATTTTTCAAACGATCCTAAACCATTGATCAATTTCATTATTTTATGACAATATTATAAACCATTTATACATTTTCTTGTAGATGACCTGTCATATATTTTTTTTGTACAATACTAGTTCATAATTCTTGTAAGAAAAAATTATAAAAAATGCAGTGTGACAAATTTATTAAGTAGATTTTAGGATGGAAACATGGGCTGCTATATTCTGTGTTAATTATTTTGAATTTATGTTACTTGTAATTCCGTCTTTGCGTATTGCAGAGTTATCTTCTCTTGGGAGCAGGTATTGATTTTTACGTCATTTGTTTGTGCGAGTAACTTCATCAATTTTTGAGAAAACGACGCAATTTTCTCACACAAACCAATGATGTAACGATCAATACCTTGCTCCCAAGAGAAGATAACTCTGCAATATGCAAAGACGAAATACTAGCTCACTGTTCATGCAACACTTTTTCAGTATTGTTTTACGAAATTGGTTGAAGATCTGTTTCCTTTTGGGGAGCTTTCAATGTTATTGTATGAACTATATATTTTCCTGAGCTTAAAACCCTCAAGTGCATCTGAAAAATTTAATGTACCTTTCAGAATTTTTCTTTTTCAAATTTTTCTTTTTTTTTGCATTAATATACAATACAATATAAACATCGCATGACATAAAACAAACATATATATCGCCACAAATATTCATTAATTTTCATACAAATAACTACAATTATCAGAAATTTTTCAGATTTTTTTTTACATAATTTGAATTTGTAAAATTATTATTTTATGAATCGATATTTTGGCATGTACATATTATATTTCATCATATCATGTGATAATAATGCAAGTTAGTGTATAAGTATCTCTAAAAGTCAGTATTAAGTCACTAATATTGCAGAGTGACGGGAATGACATTATTTTTGTCCTGGTTTTTCTACATCTTTACATCTACATCTTTAAAAGTACAGCCAGCTGGGGACAATGCTACTTTTTAAGAAGCAGGTCTCAGTGAGGAAGACATAAAAAGGAATTCTTAAGGATCCCGGTACCACTGAGGAAAACTGTAACTACTCATTGGAAACTGTGTATCTCGATCAATCATTTCCGAAAAAAACCCTTTACCTTTTGGGGCTTTTATGAGAAATTATAAAGAAAAAATTGAAAAATTATTTATATTTTTTTTAGAAATTATAAAGATGGAAAACAAAAATATTCCACAACAGTGTTCTGAGATGAAAAGTTCAGCAGCGATAGACTAGGATTCGATCCCCCTGGTCTTCAGATTGTTATGATGTAGCTCTAACCAACTAAGCTAGCTGGTCACAGGAAGTGTCTGGGCCCAGCTGTGCTACAGATATCCAAAAGGAAATTAAGGCGAAGTTACTGTAATAAATTCACTGTAACGTTTGACATACATTTTGTATATTAGATATATACATGTATACATATTTCAATTACATTATAATTGACATCAGTTTCATTGAAAAAATATTCCAGTCATTTTGTTATAGAAAAAAATCTTGATTTTCTTTACAAATTCCACTGTTCCTTTATAAATCAGCTACAGGCAAATTATATGTGAATTTTTCAAAATATATTTTTTTCACTTTTGTGACAGTTTTCAAGCTGTTCCTACTTATATAATTCCCACAATGCACCATACTACCCATAATGTACTGCACTTTTTATGCATGTTTAATTGCTTGTTCCTGCTTATTAAGATATTCTGCTGCAATGTATGTATCTGTACTAAAATAACTTGGAAATCAAAATTTATAGACATTTAATTTTTGTTTAAAGGAATATGACAAAACATATTGAAAAATATGTTTATTTGTATCAGACAACTTTGGGAACTTAAATTGCCCTTAAATATGAAACTGTTTGCTGCTATTGTTTCAATTAGGGACCAGATGACTCGTGAAACAGGCTTCGTTTCAGGGACTTGTCTAGGTCTCCTAAGTTTCCCAGTGGACAATAACTGCCTCGTACTCCCATCTGATTGTCTTTGAAATTTCCCAAAACTGTAAAAAGATAAAAGGAATAAGTAATAATAATAATTAAAGCTCATAATGCAGCATTTTATATGAAATTGTTATTCAATAATGAGAGTACTGAAGTTTTCTATGCAAACAGTTTTTGTGAGGGGCAAAATAAAGACAATTTTCTAAATTCACCAACATTGGTGGGGAAAATGAAATTTCCCAATTTGTTGTAACTATATAAGCTAGGGCCCCATTCCCCAAAATGTTAAACAAATATAACTCCTGTTTTTGTACTAATGGAACCAAAAATAAAATGAATTTGTTTTAATAATATATTGTGCAAAATATGAAAAATTCTCGTTATACATTTGTATAAAATGGTACATTATTAATGAATAACAGGTAGAGTGGCACACTTTATGTAAATGTCATACAAAGTATTGAATAGTAAGCCCTTATTTTTGGCAAAACCGATTACAGTTTTTAGAGTTCAACATGTTAATTCTTTTGCATTTTTCATGTCGAGAAAATTAGTGAAAAAATATCGACACACAAATTTTTATTTATAGATAAAAAAGGACATAGATATATCCAATATGTATAAATTTCAGAACAAGCATTTCTGTACCTTGATCATTTTAAAGAGTCAGGAGCACAAATATTTCCACACCAAAATAATTCCATTTTTGCCTTGTGTAAAAATAATTTAAGTGGCTGTCATAACTTGATGATAGCAAGTTGCTTTTTTCCTCATAAAAAGTTCTGTACCAAGTAAGTCTTTACCATTATCTTTAAGGGAGATGAGAGAATATTAAGCAAGAAGTAAAATTGAAAAAAAATATATTGTGGCATTAACATTCAAAATCAGAAGTCAAAAATCTACACAACAGGCTTCAACAGAAACCGAACGGAGGACACAGCAAAAACGGGAAAACACTCACAGTATTTCATTCTTGAAATCTACATTTCTTGTAAAATTCCAAATGTTATAGATGTGATTTTTAAGGGAAAACCAGACTTTGTGTATTTAAAAATGCAATTGTCTGCATGTGTTTCAGGGAGATCCAGGCAAAGTTTTGTCAAAATCGAGTTACTCAGACAGAAAAGCACCTTGGTCTGTTATGCGAGACAATCGGCTCTATGAACAGAAAATCAGCTAGAATGAGAGACAAAGGTTTGTATATGATTCTTTTTTGAAATAAAACTTAGTACAGTGGAATCTGCATTAAGCGACCACCAAGGGAAATTTAAAAAAAACGGTTGTTTAATAAAAGTGGTCGTTCAATAAAGTTTGAGTATCTGTCCGTATTTCACTGCTAAATCGACAATATTGGCAGTTAGAAAAATTACTTTTTATTTGTTTCTGCACATCAATAATTTTACATGTATTATAAGTTTGGAAATTTGTTTTGTCAAATTTGTTCACTGAACTTGGTGAAAAGATCATAAAGTAGCCCTTCGTCAAATGTGGTAGCGGTCGCAAATTTGGAGTTACACAACTATTTCAACGACTGTTTAGTATGTTTTCATCAAAAATGGTTGCTAAAATGTATCAAATGTGGTCGTTTAACGTAATATTGGTGTCAGTATTGGGTGGTCGCGTTAGACAGATGGTCGCTTAAAACAGTTAAATTACATAGTGAAAACGGTCGGGAGGAATGAAAAGTGGTCCCATAAAACAGATGGTCGTTTAATAAAGATGGTCTCTTGAGCAGATTCGACTGTATCATATATCAAAGTTTTACTTTATAAACAAACAATGAGCATATTGAACGTGTCGCAACGTTTCAAGATGGACTGGTCAAAGCTTGACAAAGGGACCAGTCAGTCTTGAAACATTGCGACACGTTTAATATGTACATTGTTTGGGTATAAAGTAAAACGTTTGAGAGTCATAGCTTGACAAAGGGACCAGTCGGTCTTGAAACGTTGCGACACGTTTAATAGGTACATTGTTCGGGTATTAAGGAAACTTTTGAGTGTAATAGCATCACAAAGGGACCAGTCGGTCTTGAAACGTTGCGACACGTTTAATATGTACATTGTTTGGGTATAAAGTAAAACGTTTGAGAGTCATAGCCTGACAAAGGGACCAGTCGGTCTTGAAACGTTGCGACACGTTTAATAGGTACATTGTTCGGGTATTAAGGAAACTTTTGAGTGTAATAGCATCACAAAGGGACCAGTCGGTCTTGAAACATTGCGACACGTTTAATATGTACATTGTTCGGGTATTAAGGAAACTTTTGAGTGTAATAGCATGACAAAGGGACCAGTCGGTCTTGAAACGTTGCGACACGTTTAATATCTACATTGTTTGTTTATAAAGTAAAACTTTGATATTACATATTTCCAGACTGAGAAATCTTATTGAAGGAACTCAATATCAGTTTCATCATTATCAATTTTATCAATGATATTTCTAGATAATTGTACCCATATATGAAAGTTAGACCTATAAAGAACTCGTCAAAGTCTTATGTGATTTTGTAATTTTGGAAGGGATGCAAACATCAGAGTGATCTTGATTAAACATTTTGTAGAACATGAGCTATGATAGTTTGGTATTTAACATATAGGTGATATCCTGGCAAAGCAGTTGATCGAGTACGCAAAAACAGAAGACACAAGTCACTCCCTGAAGAACGGCTTGTTACACTTCTCAGAAAACTTGTCAGCAATTCAAGATTACAGACAAGCTGGTGTAAGTATTGCTGTTAAGGCCAAAAGAAAAGTGTCTGTTTAGGGTTCCCGACCGACCCTAGCTTTTTACCCCGGACCCAAAACTTTTTGATGATTTGTTTTATTTTTATTTTTAAAAAGCCGCTGATTTTTGAATTTTAGAAGGTTCCTTGCCTTTCAAAATGGCTTCCAGCTCCGTGTTGGCGCTAAATGTCATCATATGGAGCACAATTTGCCTCCAAATGAACCTTGTTTATGTAATTCTTTGTTTTACATACAATAGTAGGGTCATAATCACATGACCAAAAATATTAAAAAAAAAAAAAAAAAAATCAAAAAAAATCCGACTTTTGTTTTTTGCCCCTGCAACCCTAAACAGACTATAATATTTTTTTGGCCTAATCTGGAAATTTTCATTTTTCCAATTTTGGATCCCTGTACCACTGCAAAAAACTGTTACAATGGAATGTAGACAATTTTTTTCTGGCATGTCTTATATAGGTAATAGCTTTGATGAAATATTTTTTCTGGAAATAAAATCATGCATGTAGTATCTACCTTGTGGAACTTTTATGAAACAATTAAGATGAAATTTAAAAAAATGAAAACTCAGCAATTATATAGTGTTCTGAGTGTAAAATTGAACCAAGTTAGACCAGGATTTGAACGTAAAGCTCCAATCATTATGATCAACCCTTTCACCCCTAAGTAACTTCAGTAGACTCCACCATACATTGATCTGGATGAGTCCATTTTAGTCTACAGTGGTGAAAGGTTTAGACTAACTCAAACCAACTACTGTTTTATTTGGTCAAATACCCTGTAAACAAAAGGTACAATATTATCCACAACAATAAAAAGAGGATGATACTGAATATACAAAAGAACTCTATTAAATATTAAGTGCTTGCTTGCCATGGCATCAGAATCCTTAAACAAAAGAAAATGGAATTTCTGTTCAGACAGCAATGAAGCAAAAGACAAAATTCTACTTGACCATGAGCATAAGCTGTTGGCAGATAAAAAGATTCAAAGCCTTATTTTAATTTTATCCTTTATGCATGTTCAAAATTTCATGAAAAACATCCCTTTTTGAAAGTGTTGATTGAACACTGGTTATACATTTATAAATAGATAAATGTACAAAATGTATTTCGAATTTGTGATTAAATTATTTTTCCAACTCCTGTGTGAGTTCACCGCTGAGTAAAATTGCTTTCAAAGAACTGATAAGGAAAATATTTTGTGAGACAAAGTTTTGAATTTACACAATAATCACATGTTTTTCATCAGAAATTAATCCTCAAATTTATATCATTACAAGGGGTATTTGAGATTTTTTTGTTTGGTAGCTTTTGTTGATTTGTTTCTAAAATAAAGTCATGAAGGATACAATTTGATATCTGCGATAATAAGAGAAAAACCATACCTCTATTTTTGTTTATTTTCTCATGTTTGATTGTTGAAATGTAGTAAATTTGCACGTTCCTGTTAAAGAAAATACCCTGAACTGATCGATAGTAAATATTTTATTTTCACAGATTCAGCGAGTCGAAACCAAAGTGTTACGTCCTCTTAGTGATTATGGAAATATATGTAAACAGGTCAAGGTAAGTATGTAATACTAAATATATGTAAATAGGTCAAGGTCATAATGTAATACTAAATATATATGTAAATAAGTCAAGGTCATATGTAATACTAAATATATGTAAATAAGTCAAGGTCATATGTAATACTAAATATATGTAAATAAGTCAAGGTCATATGTAATACTAAATATATGTAAATAAGTCAAGGTCATATGTAATACTAAATATATGTAAATAAGTCAAGGTCATATGTAATACTAAATATATGTAAATAAGTCAAGGTCATATGTAATACTAAATATATGTAAATAAGTCAAGGTCATATGTAATACTAAATATATGTAAATAAGTCAAGGTCATATGTAATACTTAATATATGTAAATAAGTCAAGGTCAGGATGTTACACATACATGTTTTAGGGACTATATATATACTTATTCAATGTTGTCCATCTAGAGGATGAAAAAACAAATATATTTGTGTGAGTAGTTTTAACACTTGATTGATAAAAATAAAAATAAGATTCAATGTATTTAATTTGGGAATGCAATTCTCAAAAACAATTAAAAAATTAGTTTATTCCTTGACCGTTTAGAGTTTTTCAAAACATCAATGGCAGTTTGAAATATTTATGTATTTGCTATAGTTCTAGATCAATTTTTGAAGAAAAAATTACTCCTGAAAATATTAACCTGTTTTGACCAAATTCTGCTCTAGGTATCAATAGATGACTGACTTACCATTTTACAAGATATACAATTTTCATTTTGGAAATAAAAAGTGATGAATTTTTCAGTCAGGGGTGAAGACAGAACTGACAGCGATAAAGAAGGAACAGAAAACAGTACAACAGCTCCAAAAAGTGCGAACGAAAAATCCTGCCGATGCTCATCAAATTGTATCCTTTTTAATACAAAGTTATTTGTGTGGAGTACCTAAATCATTCACTCATTTTCCAAATGGTTTCCAGACATTTCCTTGGAGACGATTTCTTAAATACTGATGAATATATACTTCAGTATAAAAATCCATACCAGGTTTCATTTTCTGATAAAACATGGCCACTGGGGCCTCTGTTTGATTGACACATTTATGGGTGAACGCCAAGGTGATGCTAACGGTCCCTCGGTCCCTCGGTCACTGTAAGTGTATTTTAGCAATGTACATGATTTCCAATGCACCATTTGCGACTACCTAGTAGTTTGGGGCTCCTTTGTAAAGGTCCCCGTTACAATTAGAACTTGTTGCTATTTATTCTATTTTAATCCACTCTGTTTGACATCCGACTTGTGAAAAATATCAAAATGTTCACCTGACTTACGATATAACTGTCATTTAAAAAACAAAATATCCTCTCTCTACTGTATAGTTGTTTATTTTCACAGGGCTAATATTTTGGGATTGTCACTAAGAGAACTAGTTCACAGGGATTATATTTTGGGCAAGATGGACAGATTAAAAAATATCTCACTGATGAGGGTACTTCTGTACCTGGGTAATGAGATTTATTTTAGAAGTGCTTTGAGAAAATAAATAAAAAGATGTTCTGAATTTTTTTATCTTCATTATTCAGTAGCAAACGGGTTAACAGAAAGTGTACTGAATATAACTATAAAGCTATATAAAAATGAAAAATATCTTTCGCTGCTTTACAGCTCTTCAGGAGAATCTCTCTCTATATATAACTTAACAATGTTTAGAATTCATGGTATTAGCTGGGTATTCAATTTCACACTATCTTAAGTGATCACAAATTAAATCCCCTGCAAACATTACGAAATACAATATAGTATATAGTGGATAATTATCTTGAGGCCCAGATAAGATGTCAGGTTTCTTCCGATACTGTGAGTCATACTTCCCAACTTTTTCAAATTTCCATGAGGGAGATTGTGCGCACTCAGCATAAAAAGCATAAATAAAATTTGTGTATGTACACCCTAGGGAAAAATAACACTCGTAAATGACATCTTTTGAGATGTTCTTTCAAATGAAATCATCAGAACTTAGAAAATAGGAATAGTTTAGCGAATTCACTGGTAGAAAATGCTTAATTTTAGGGTCCAAAATCGGGAGTCGCCCTCCTAAATAGGGAGAGTTGGCAAGTATGGTGAGAAGCACCTGTGTCTATCAACATACCAGGAATCAAGTATTTTGCTCTAGACCCTGTGTCCAACCATCAGAAAACTTCTTATTTTATTTCCTTAACTATTGTCCAGAGCCGGGTAAGTGTAACAGGACTACGGAATGTTTGAATCAACTTCACGCGCAATCTTGCATAATATCGTCTTTATAGCATCATTAGAACTTGACTCACCAGGGAAGTATAATACATTATTATTGATACATGTACAATGATGGGTTTGTTTTACAATTTTAATTATACTTGGAGCTCCTTTTTATTTCTATTTTATTGAGTATAAATAATGAACAAAAAGAATGTACTTTCAATATTATTTTACTTACTATTTCGTAAAAAAAATAACTGTCAGAAAAGAAAAACAAAATGCTGAATCATTTAATTTTGCACTGGTCGATGTAGGGTAGATTCATAACTAAGATATTATTTCAAATTTTGTTGGAACCTGGAAAATTTCACAGCACAGATAATTCTGGCAATAAGCTTGCGTCAGGTAATAAGCCAACTCACATTTCTACTGTAGAAATGCCCCCAATGGATATTTCATTGTTCCTGTGTATAGCCCAATCCTTATGTGTTGGCCCCCTGGGTTTAGTGCAGGGTAAATAGGGTATTGCTTTTGTCTTATATACTCATATTGTTGTGATTATGCAATTAATTTTCGATAGATTTCACCGGCTGAACATCATTTCGGCATGTACTCTTGATTCATCACAGGAAAACAACCATTTAGAAAAGTATCTTTTGCATATGACAATTAAATTGACTGCATACGAGGAAAATGATTTTTGAATGAGGTGTTTTAAGCAGTTGTGAATAAGAAAATAGATTCAAACACAATCTAAATGGAAACTCTTCGCCCTCGAACCATTCTGTATTGTAACTCACTATTTTTTAGCAAATCTCGCTAAATCTCTCTTTTTTGCACCTGGAAGTTGTGGCGTGTATGATTGTCCGGTTTTAAGTTTCATGGGACATGTTGTTATTTGTCTGTAGGCGGAGACAGAAGTACAGAAGGCCTCTGCGGATGCATCTATAGGAAGTAAAGCTCTCGAGACGCAGCTTGATTTATTTGAGAAAAATCGAATACACGATCTCAAGGTAAGTAAGTTGGTCAAGAAAAATTGCCAAGATAATACTGTGTGTTTATATTACCCATAGTCAAAATGAAGCTGTTTTTGTTTGAGAAATATAAGCCACACACCAATTATCATTCATCATGTAAAATATGCTTACACACTTTAGATTAAAGGAAATTAAGGTAGTATAGTTATCCCGCGTTACGATTTCACAGTGGAAATATAACATTCAAGACATTCAAGCATATATGTTCAATTTTGACATCTTTCTAGTAAGTTAATTTATTTATGAATGGATTTTGACCAATCCTCATATAGGGATTTAATCTGGACTTTTTCAAGGTTCATGCAAGTATGAACAAGAGAAAAAATACTTATACTCCATGAGAGCAGCTGTAGCTAAGTGAAAATGGATTTGAAAACTCTTTAAAGTAGTCCAATGAAAAAACCCAGCTGTTCAATCTAATAAAGACAGCTGATAAGATGTAAAGCTCTTTTCCAATAAACATGAAGTACCTACTCTTTTTTTTACAGAATATCATGATAGACTTTGTGAACGTTGAGATGATGTTTCATGCCCGAGCTTTGGAGTTCTACTCCAAGTGTTTTGAGAGTCTAGCGTTGGTGGACGAGGAACGAGATTTAGACGTAAGTCTGTGGAGGAATTAATAAAAAAAAATAGTTTGTCACTGAAATGTATTAAGGTTATATAAATTAGTCATCAAACAAAAATGTTGAAGTTGTGCATGTACATAGGGATATAGGTCTTAACTCATACCGTCACATGTGAAGAGAAAACATTTTGTGTCTTCAAATAAGATTTTACCGAACTGATCATATCTATTAATAAACTGATATAAATGCAAAAAAAAGTTTATTATCAAATCAAAGTAAGTAGATGATGATTATAATTTTGTATGAATTTAAAATCCGGCATTACTGTTATGAACTTATGATCCTGACTTTGTACATTTCAAGGTAGTCAAAGGTTCAAATGGATTCAGTTCAGTTCGACAGTGTGAAAATGATCACAACGTGGCTGTTCAAACTGATCGTGATCGCGCTTTATTTTGTATTGGCATTGGTTTTGAAATTTTAAATTTTCCATTGTAATCTATTCCGTCTTTGCGTATTGCAGAGTTATCTTCTCTTGTGAGCAGGTATTGATTGTTATGTCACTTGTTTGTGAGAGTAATGTCATCAATTTTTGAGAAAACGACGTAATTTTCTCACACAAACCAATGACGTAACAATCAATACCTGCTCCCAAGAGAAGATAACTCTGCAATACGCAAAGACGGAATATACATATGCTTATATATCTACTTAAGTAATACATATCCAAACAAACGTTTGTTTGTTTGGATCCTGCACTAATATTGGATCATACAGTCATTATAGAAATATAAAATATATTCATTTGTGCTTCTTACATTTATTGAATTAGTCAGGTTTGTGAAGCACTATCGCGTAAATCATTGGATTTATAGCACTGGGGGGAAAAAACCAGAGGTTGATATTTTGAAATGTCTACAATGTCACACTCTGTTGTTGTCCGACTATATCTGGAATGAAAAACTGAAATGAATATATCAAATATAATAATATATCTATATATTTTATTTATATTCTACTCAACGCAAAAAACAATTTTATGATAATTTCCACTTAAAATATTAAGAATGATGGTAAACATTAGCTATTGCGATCATTTGCAGTCATACAAATTGTATTTAATTTTTTGAACAATTCGTCCTGAAAAAAATGGTATTTTAATAAGTTATTGTTACCACAACTTGCCAATGGTACTGAAACAGAACGGGAAACAGTATCACCAGTAAGTTGAAAAAGGAAAACTTTACGAAAAATATGATCAATTGTTACCAGGAATTCCGACGAAAGTTGCGGCTTTCTAAAGGCATGAGCCAGGAGCAATACAACCAGACAATGGACAGTATCGGGACGGGCACGTCCTCCGGAATGTCCACCACAATAGCCAGTGGGTCAATGGAAACTGACACATTTGGGGACACTTATGGCGACTCATCGATGTCTGGGTCCGGGTCTCATCGACGAGTACGCATCAACACCAGAGGGGTCAGTACTCATAATATGTCATCATTACTGAAAACAAATACAGTATATAGTATATGTCATTGTACTCATCAGCCTTTTGTTGTCTGTTTTCTGCCCCCCTCCCCCCCCTCTCAATTTTTTTTTCTTTGAATTTCACCATCCTCCTAACTGTTCATAGATTAAAAAAACATTTTAAAATGTCACCCTTTGTTTCTTTTATTTCATTGAGAAGTTATTTTATATTTGCACAAAAAAATCCTTCTTCAGCTTCAGTATATTACAAAAAATCTAAAGAATGATTAATTTAATATGCACATTAATATCTTAGCTGATTTTTAAGCCGCTCTTGGAGAGAGCCGAGTGACTTATTAATTCTGTCCAAAGAACGAAATGACGGACCCACTTCCGTTCGGGGTGCGTGCGCATAATTCAGTCTTGCATGCTTCCGCTATGTAGTTTCGTTATTGTAAATAGAAAGTAGAATCTCGGACACTCACCTGTGGGTTACATAAAGTCTTCTGATACTCTTCTCCAAATACTAATCCATACTTTAAATAATTGCTGAAAACAAAATGTTTATCATCGGTGCATTCTATGAGTTTTGTGGTGGTGAAATTTGTGCACTGGGTTTTAGCGTTTTAGCAACTCGGATTGAGGTCCGAGGAGGTTTATGCGTGTGAAACACATGATTCGAGAAAGCACATGTGAAGACTGTCAAGCATTGACACTGTCTGTAGAAGGAAGAATTATATATATATACTTATAAACCGTATAAGTGATGAAGTATAACCTTTATTTTGATGTTTCAAACGGTAACGTAATATGACTTATCGTGCTTAGGTTGATAACGGTAATGGCTTGGAGATGAGACATTATGTGAACCGTGTATGCTTATCAAACATTTCTGTAACACAGCATGCTTTTTTCTGCTGTATTTATTTATGAAAATATAACAATTTAAGAACATGACACAACTGCCGCTGCTGTTTGACAAGAATTCACGCTGTGTCAAAATATTATCCAATGTAAGGTGTAAGGGAAATAACTCTTACGTTGGTAAAGTCACATTGAGAAATATAATTTAAATATATTTCAAGAACATTTGTGAGATTTTGTATATTCAGTGACAGTAAATAAAGTCACTACATATATTAATAATTGTTATGAATATGAATAAAAATTAAATGAAAATAAAAGGAGTACAATGTCTCTTTTCTCCATGCATGTATTCCCACTACTGTTAATTATCCTTCATTTCACAAGCACAAAATGCACCTATTCCTTATTATCCATTCACTGATTGCCATTATGCACGTAAATGCTCATGTCACATCATCGGAGGATGCTAATTAATAAAAATTACATAAATGTGTCACACGCACATCATCACATGACCTGATTTTCAATTAGCAGAATACAGAACACATATCTGAGGTATTATAGTAGATGTTGATGCTCAACGTGTTACTGAAGCAATTAAATTTAAAGTGGTGAGCGGTTTTAATGTCACACTGACATAATTCTAGTTTTTTTAGAAATTAAATTATCTTGCAGTTATTTCAATTTTTTCTAGGTTAAAGGTTTTAAAATGCAATAATTTAATGTCACATATTGAATTCCTTCATCTTATGAAAATAATGAGATCTTACGTGAAAAAAAAAGAATGTAGTCTGAATGATTTTGTTTGCCCCGACATCAAATCACAGGAAATATATGAGAGCATGCATTGTCCATAAACCTGTTTTAAAAATCCTGTCTCTGATTTTGTTTCCAATCACATTTCATACAGAGTATGTTTCTGTGTTCTTCTGAGTATATAATGGGAAGTTAATTGGTTTTATATTACAGTCAGCTATGTACGGTGATGATGACGATGATGACGACGATGATGATGACGATGATTATGAAGATGAACTATCAACGCGACGATGAAAATATATACCTAGTAGAAATAGTCACAGTTTTAATATTATTAACTTATTTTTCATATCATCGAAAATGAATCTCTTTTCACATAATGAATTGCATACTTCTGATAAAAAAAAAGGATAAAATAATCCACCAATTTTCCTTGCCTCGAATAAGCTCAATAATTTTTTTCTACATTTCTTTCTCTTGACATTCCACAAACAGGGTCCATCATATTCCAGGTTTGGCAGTAAAAAACTTTGCACTGGCAGGAAAAAAGGGAATTTATATATAAACAGCTCAAGAAAGAAAATTTGAATTCAAAAGACCAGAAAATCGGGTACTAGTATTCAGTGCTTTAAATCACAAGATTTTCAAGATAGTGCTTCAAATAGCTGTTTAATAAATAGGAGTCCAATTTACATAAGAAGCACTATTTAAGATATTTCTCCCACTATATGTACAGTAAAACCTGTATCAAGATCTAGAGGCCACCTGGTAGAAATCCAGAAAGTGGTCTTCAAATGTAGATGGTCCCTTTTAACAGGTTCAATTCACAATGAAATCACTACAATTTCGGAACATTATAAGTGGTCTCTTAACACAGGTGGTCTCTTAACACAGGTGGTCTCTTAATTGAGGTGGTCACAGGAGAAGGTCTGACAGAATCTGAAATGAAAAACTTCATTTAATATCTTAAAACTTGAATGTCACTGTGTCTTTAACAGGAAACTTGAGCTTCAGTTTAGGTAATTATTTGGCCTTCAACTTGAACACTTCACATAGAAGGTTATTGCATGTCAGCTAGGTTTTGCTGTTGTTTCCCACAGAATCTGCCAGTGTTGTCATTTAGGTATACGTTGTTGTGAAGGTTAGTAGTTTTATACTAAATTATGATGGTGCCTAGTAATATTTGAAGCTTTGTGTGATAAACAATTGTGATTAAGTAGAATATGTAGTTGATTCCCAATTCAACAGTCCCGTCTACAGTGAATGGGTATATATGATTAATATGGAACACAGGTACAGCTTGGAATTAGATATTTTCAATGTACAATAAAACCTGTATCAAGAAACCTACCCTGGGAAATCCAGAAAATGATCTCTCAAGGAAGGTGGCCCTTAAAACAGGTTCAACTCAATGAATCACAACAATAGAGAACATTAAAAGTGGCCTCTTAACACAGGTGGTTTCATAATGGAGATGTTTGCATGAGCAGGTTTAACTGTATCATTGAAAATTTTAGCTGAGAAAACAGATATTTTCAAATGTCAATATATAGCTGGGAGATAGATGCTAGTGTTGTGGGATGTCAGTGCATCATTGACTATCCTAGCTGGGACAGATACTGTGTATACATTGGATTTATCTGGCTACTAATAGTTCAGTAAACATTACAGATAATGATACATTTCTTATCTAAATGACAATACATTTATAAAGATTTCTGCTTTCATGGTTTATTGAAGAGTATGAAATTTCAGCTTTATATTAGTCAATAAAAAATATATAAAAATATAAAATGTGTTATTAAACAAGGTAGAGCATGGGTATTTCATTTTGCTTGTGTTTTAATTTCATAATTTCCCAATGTGTTTTTTTTATGTTTTTAGTTATGTTCATATTGATATTTTTCACTGATACTCATTTTGATTTGTTTCCTTAATCTCGTAGTTTACTGGTACATACTAAAATAACATGCTAGTAATTTAGAAAAAAAAATACGCAAAACATATTTGCATTTATCATGTAGAGTTTGGATTTTCTACTAAAACCATAGATAATTAGTTTCATGTTTGATAATATATTTTGAAGACAAATTATTTGGTCATACCCATCGATCGTACTTTGACTTCAGGGAATTGTAGCTTGACCCTGCTCTTCCTTCTCTTTGAAATCCATGGGCTTCACTCTTGTTGTTGCATATTTCTTCCTCTGATGATCTCCCGACAGAATCAAACACAGAATCAAACACTCGATAAGCGTCATCTTCCAGACAACAGAGTGGGTTAATCTGAAAACAGAATCCTGCATACCTGTGATTTGTGAAATCGTAAAATTTACTGGCTTTGATCTCGGAGTGTAGCTCTTTGATGATATTTACAGTCGGAGTACGGCTGTCTGTCATCCTTGTGATTCGTCAGTTTACGATATCTGGAATTAAGCAAATACAAAAATATAGCTATTTCCTGGGTTCTAGATATCATACACTTCGATTCTGTCATGAGGAATCCCAGGGTTGCAAAAATTATGTGTATATCAAAAGAATAATCCTTTGATCTGAAGATGTTACTTCCTATGGTTCACAGATAGAAGTATATCATACATATATACTGTAGAGAAGGGAGATAATGCTACAGTTTCCTGGGTTAGATCCTTCAGAAAGAAGTAGATAGGATAAGAGGCTATATGTCATATGTCATCAATTCATTTTCTCAGAAATTGATGATTTTTTTTGTGTCTGGATATAAATAAATGCAAACTGAAGTATTTTGTGTGGGCTGGCCATCTTGTAAAATTTCAGATGTGTTCTATAAGTGTGTATGTGCACTTTTTAAAACTGATATCAAATATATGTCAATTTGTACAAAATGATAACAAAATATTGAGGGTTAACTACAAACTATGGTAATTCTGACGGCATAGTTAGAAATGCATGAACTTTTTGACACAGTTTGATATTTGTGATACAATTTTTTTTTTCATATTTCCGATTATTTTCCAAAGTATATTTAAAATTGTGGATAAGAAACACGTTATATTTCGGTGAAAATATGGAGCGGTGTAAAGCCCATATCCAAGCTGCTCCTTTAACCAAATCATAGGAAGTTCTTTCATAGCAAATATCAAAGGCATATTTGATACATTTAATTTATTTTAATACCTTTTCTTGTTCTTTTGACGAGAAATCCGTCCATACACGTTGACAGGGTTCAACCATTTTTGAACCGATGTATCTTTACAAAAGATTTGATATTTTGTTGATGTTGATCATAATAGTTCTTGCATTCCAAATCTGTGAATGGAGTCGGAAGTGATTCCGTGTGACCTTTGACCCATCTTCTCTGACTAACCATAACATTCTGATTGATTGATGAGTATGTATGTGTATACAATGTAGTAAACTTACTGACTATCAGTTCACTTCAAATGCCCACAAAACATACGAAACCTTTTCAGATTTTTTGTTTCAATTTATAAAATTGTGACTTCTTGATATTAATCGAAAAAAAGTTGTTTATGGCATTGTATGGAACAAAATGTGTCCATTTGTGTATACATATCCTTTCAGTAAAATGAAAACTCATTTTTTTTTTTAAACAAGTTTAATCACAAAAAAATCCATTGATATATATATTTATTGATATTTACATCAAACGTGGATACAAATTGCATACATAAAAAAATAGAATCCAGTACTTTGGAGTGAACAATTTTGAAACAAACAGTGGTTCTAGTCAGTGGTAATTGTCGTAAATTGTCACTATGTTTTTAATCCAGTTATAACGGTTTTATTCCTTTAAAGTTTATTGATAATTATCAATACAATTTTACACCTATCTGTGATAGTTGTTTTATTGGCACTAACGATTCTTCATGTCGGTATCATAATTAATTTTATTGTTTTGTGATGATCTAAATAAAACACTAAGTCTTATATATAATGTAATATATATATATACTTTATAATTGTGATAAAATGTTGAAAAACATAATGATATTATGATGTCACACTCTTAATTGTAAAAGTCTCAGGTAAAAACTACAGTCCTGTTAATACAAGTTTTTATTGTCGTTGAGCTGAAATTTTTGAATGTTTCAAAGTTCATATTTGTCAAAGAATGAAAAAAACTTTCCTTGAAAATACATCTGTAAACATTATGTAGGAAAGGTTATTGTATATCATAAAATGTCCTTTGCAGTGTAACTTGAACCATGTTCACTCTCCAAACGAATGTAGAGTGACAGCGAGTAGTGCAAAACGTTGTTTTGGTAGTTCTGGTAAGGTACTGCGGTGGCCAAGTGGTTAGGCGTCTGACATTCTGCTTCTACTAGCCCTCCACCATTGTGTTGTGGGTTCGAGACCTACGTGGGGCAGTTGCCAGAAACTGACCGTAGGTCGTTGTTTTTTCTCCGGGAACTCCGGCTTTCTTCTACCACCAAAACCTGGCACGTCCTTAAATGACCATAGCTGTTAATAGGACGTAAAACACAAACAAACCAAATGGTTCTGGTATTTGTTACTGTCTCTGATACATGTGTACGTTGAAGGTCTGCTCATGAATTAATGTTTTGATTAAAATAGCGAGAATTAACGAAATAGGATCGGTTTAAATTTTACAATTATATGTCACTATACTTATGAAGCTTGATATACGTAGCTATAGTGTATAAAATCCCATTTATTGATTAACCCATTAATTATTGCACTAATTAAAATAGTAATGTATTTTATATTACATTAATTGACACAAAATGTTAATGGAACTCTGTCTCACTTATTCAGAACTTTTAGGCTAACTGACACTTTTGTGTATGGAATATATAAAGATTATATATGATACTAATTATATTTAATAACTTGTATAAATGTACTTTCTTTCAACAATGTCGAAAAGTTCATATTAATAGGTATCACAAAAATGTCAATTTGGTGTATACTTTTGTAAGTATGCATTTAGTTGCACTGATGTACATCTTATTTAAGTACAATACTGTAAGGCGGCAAGAAAGTTGACAATTTTTTTTCTACGGGTAAGTGATGATCTAAATTGCCTGAAATTTCATATTGCATAATTACTATTTATCTACTTCAAACTATATATTCAATTTAGCTTATTTGATATAATTGGGTGATAATCCTACATATATCACTAACGTTAAACGTTAAATTTTGGTGATAATAATTTGGGCCCGCCAAATCGTCAAAATGAGATCTAACCAAAATAATCCGCTTTATGTTATAGTACTGTTGTCTTTCTTTAGTATGCTAAAAAGAAACCAACTTTGTGATTTTACTTGTACAGTCACTCAGTTTATGTTCTTCCACCATAAAACATCCCTCCCAGAAATCCATACGCGGAGGCACCAAAATGCACTCTGGGATAATTGTAAAAGTCAACGTTCGTGTGTTACTATATATAGCAGCTGGTGTAGACACATAACCGACACTGCCCACTATGTTAATTACGTCCCACCAATGTTGCTAAACTGTGTGTAATTTCAGTAGAAAATTGTTCGTTGGTTGTGTTGTATGGTGACTCCCGGGGTTTCGTTTGGGCATTTATACAACATAGTTTTTGTGCTTTGTACTATTAAAGTGGCAAAAAGGTATATGAGGATCGTCGCTGGAATAAGTTGATTTTAAAGATGATCTCATAAGAGGCTTCCACATGACATCATTAATTAATTACCGTATTTTACTGATGATTAATAAGACCGTGGTCGATATTCAGGACGATCCAACTATTCTGTTCATTTTCCAAAAATATAAGGGAGACAAGTGTTCTAGCTGATAAATTTAAGGAATAAGACCACACAATGACATCCCAAGTATGGCTCAGGTTTCTTCCAGTGATTGTTAACGCTTTATGTCACTTTTCAGCGACGTAACAAGGAACCGTATTGGTCAGTACAAAGATATCATGAAAGTAAAACGACGGTAACCTTACCAAACGTGACATCATAATGAATGTGGAATGTGACATCAGTATGACGTCAGACTGGCCTAAATTGGGAGATTTTGTGAAAACTTTGGTTTCATATAAAATCAAAATTAAAATAGGGATAAAACGTAAAATGTCATGTCGTTTAAAATTCTGTGTTAATTTAGCTAGAATGTTGTATATTTGCAACGATAAGAAACTGTTTTTTAGATTTGTTAGTAATAATTGGAGCATTCTTCATCTCAATGCTCGCTCCGTAATTTCTTCAAACCTACTTCAATCGTTCAATACGGTACTTACCAGTACACATCGGTACTTCTTCGAGGACCAAACGCCATGACGATATATTCTGAAGATTTTTTTTCTCTTCAATTATCATGTGATCATTTTACATTGTGCCAATGGCAAAGCTTGTAGAACTTGTCGAACATGCTTTTTAGGTAATGAGAAATGAACGATAGAAATCCTGTAGAATGGACTATAAAATTGCTACAGTGTATCCATGTCTATTGATAACGTCTGTGGTAGTGATGGTATATTTGTTTTATCATGTCGTTAGCAAAGAAAATAAATTACTTGTACCCACGTGATCTGATCTTCTGTGTTCAGTCCTCCAGCATCATTACAAAACCATGGCTGCTGTATGAAGTTAGATCCACAGGGACCTGAGAATTTGTTACAGCTATATTTTGACCTAAAACTAAGGTGTTCAGAGTAATTTTACATGTTTTAGAGACGTATATATTACAGAGATTGGCAACTCACGCAGATCTCGCAAAAACTCGCATGTTACTTGATCATGTTTTAGGGATTAAGATCGATTTTCGGTAAAAATGACACCCCCAATGTTCTCGTATGTGATCATTGGGTGGGGGTGTCATTTTTACCGAAAGTGGATCCAAACCCCTAAAACATGAAAAAATATTCCAAATATAGCTGTAACAAATTATCAGGTCCCTGTGGTTAGATCCTACAACAATATTCAGAGATCAATGTTCAACATTGGAACTAAGCGTAATTTTCATACTGAAATATGACTCGCAAATAGTCCACTTCCCATGAAAATCCATCCTCGATATCCAGGCATTACGCTCACTTTCGCTCTCTGCACCCCTGGAATATGTCATAGCAAAATCGAAGGCTCGGTGTGCACCGCCTTGTGTATGAGACGAGAAGGTGAAGTTTGATCCTTTGATGTACATCAAACGAATTTTGCGGTCGCGTAGGGGTAAAACTAATTGGCTTTAAAGTCGGGCGTCGCTCCCCTGTAATCTACAAAGGACCAGTATCAGCCTAGCGATTGGTCAGGATTTTGTTTTACCTGACACCAATCAAATAGCTAGCCGCGTGCCTTCAATTTTGCTATGAAATATTCCAGTGGTGTAGAGAGCGCAAGTGAGCGTAACCCCTGTTCAATTATAATGTCTTCAATGTCCCCTTAAACGCAGAAGAAAATCCTCAATTGAGTCTCTTACGACATGCATGGGGATACAGCAGGTTTCTTACGACATGCATGGGGATACAGCAGGTCTCTTACGACATGCATGGGGATACAGCAGGTCTGTTCTGGGTTTGTTCAATGACCCCTGATTGACCCCTGAAAAGAAGACTAGGAAAAAAACATCCCCGTTTCTGCAGTTTCTGCCACATTAGACGGCTCTTACAACATTCTGTCGGATACAGCAGGTCTGTTCTTTAACCGAACCGTCACATGATAAGAGGAATCGGGGGATGAAAGATAGATAGTCGTGGAGGTGGAGGAGCCTAATTACCCAGGAGGTTAAGCTGAAAGTCTTGTGTAAAGCATTCTCTATAAATGATTGGTAACCCGTTAAATGTCTAGGGAAAGGATACCACGACAGCTTGTGTAATTCTTACAACGTGAAAGCTGCAAAGGAAACACACCACATCGATAAGATCAGGCTACCTGGGGGAAATAATGACAATTCCAGCACGCAATATATTCTCGACTGACTGTAAAAGGATGGAAAGACTAGAGTAGAGGAAAGCGAAAGGAAAATCACTCAACAACCACGGCAATGGTTTGTGATACTACTTCACTTCTCTATCGTGGACCTGTATAACAGTTGTGGGGAAAGATTCGCACGGATATTGTCAGCGCGAAACTGTGATACGGTGATAATGTTAATATTAAGTTGACAATCAAGAGAAAACGCTTGGAAAAGCAATCACAAGAAAAAGAAGACCTTAGCACCAGACAAGATGCAACATTGAGGAAATGGAATAATCATCAATTCAGTTTCTCTTGTATTCTGCCTTTGATTATGACGTATTTCCGCCCACAGTCTGGGATTTATATCAGACTAATAAGCTTTCTGGGAGACTGAATTCGTCTCCGTTTTCTAGCTCATTAGTCAAGAAATTGAAGCGTAAGTTGATCTTATGATTCGATGGGATGAAAGTTGCGCTAGACTAAGTGTGAGAAAAAAAAATGAATTGTATGGCACTGAACTGTCATAACATGAGAAAAAGCTTCCGTAATAGAGTGAACTATCGTTGAACCAGTTACATTGTATATTCGTTTCTGAAGGCGCTGTGTGCACTAGGGAAACCGGAAACATTGGTCTTTTGAAAAATGGATTAAAACATCATCAGTTTGAACATGACTTCGGAGAATGAGTATAATGGCTCCCTGTGAACTTTAAACTAGCATATATCGACACTGATTATTTAACTGTTCTGGTTCAAGGAAAGACTTGGCCTGCTGTATCCCACTGCATGTTTATCGTAAGAGGCGACTAATGTGGAGCCCTCTGCAGAATATAATAATAATAATATGATAATATACAACATTTATATAGCGCCCAATATAATTTGTAAAATTACTCTAAAGCGCTTTACAACATATGGATAGTAGTATTCGTTATAATTGTGAAACAAAAACAAAGGCCCCCCAAAGCACAGGTTTCCATAGGTCACAGTACGAGATTTTGGGACACACAACAATGATTCTGACTCGGACCGCAGCGATCGTGACGGCTGATACATTGTAACAAGCTCCTGTAGGTACTTAGGAGCTGTTCCATTCAGTGCCTTGTATGTGTACACCAACATTTTGTACTGCGACCTGTATAGTACAGGTTACCAGTGCAATGAAAATAACACAGGTGTGATGTGCTCTGTCTTTCGAGTACGAGTAACCAGCCGTGCTGCAGTGTTCTGGATGCTCTGTAGATGACTAATTAGTTTGTCAGTTATACCACAGAGCAGGGCGTTACCATAATCCAACCAAGAGGTAACAAGTGAATGCACCAACATCTTGCATGCATCTGCAGTTATAAACTGCCGAATACAGCCGATGTTCCTGATCTGGTAGTAACAGGATTTGGCAATAGCGTTCAATTGTCTCTGCATGTTCAGTGAAATACCAAAGTAAACCCCTAGTTTTTTAACAGCTGGGACAGTCTCAATAGTTCTGGCACCGACCTTGGGCTGGAAAGCCATTGTTTGCTGACACTTTGGGGAAAAGCCGATTAGTTCCGTCTTTTCCTGATTAAGCTTTAGCATGTTGGCGTTCATCCAGGTACTGATATCTGTCAGACAAGCTTCCAGATTTTATGAAATTGTATACGAACTGATATTGCGCAACTCGTCCTGGGTTTTTGGTGAGAGCTTTGTCAATGGTTTCCCATCAAATTCAATGTCAGCAGTCATGACAGAGATATCATTGTCAGCAGTAGAGTTCACTTCGGCAATATTTGCATGGTTGCTTTCTTCCGTGTCTTCTGCCAAGGGGAAATTAGAGGAACAAAACATAGACCCGCTATATCCCAATGCAGGCGTTTCATAAGAGGCGACTAAAGTGGGACCATATGCAGAAACGCGTTTTTCTCCCGTGTCTTCTATTAAGAGGACATTGATGTGTCCAAAATTGATGTGCTACCTCTATTGCAACAATTGTTTTTATACGCCATTTCCTCCTTTTTATACGCCCGTCGAAGACGAGGACGTATTATGTTATCACGTGAGCGGGCGGGCGGTCGGTCGGGCGAACGATGTCCGCTCGATATCTCGAGTAATTATTAACGGATTAACTTCAAACTTCACAACAAGGTTAATTACCATAAAAGCTCGGACAAGTTTGATAACCGCCATTATCCGACCATAATTTGTGGAGTTATGCCCCTTTATGGACTTGCCGAAACAGTGTCCGCTCGATATCTCGAGTAATTATTAACGGATTAACTTCAAACTTCACAACAAGGTGAAAGCTCAGACAAGTTCGATAACCGCCATTATCCGACCATAATTTGTGGATATCCGCTCAATAACTAGAGTGCCTTACAACGGGCACACGAACAATGTCCACTTTTTTTTATGGAATTCCATGATGGCATGGCATTTAATGGAGTGATGCCCCTTGCTTCCAGTGCAGGTAAGTTTTATACTTAGTCGGTTTATTGTATTTTTATATATTGCATGTGTATATATTGCATGTAGATGGTTTGCATTGTTGTTATGTATATTATGGCACCTTCAAACTATGTGACAATCTGCTATTAAATTGAGATGATGCATTAAAAAAACCCAAGAAATTAAGAACATTTTAAACATTTCCTTTAGAACTTATAAAACATTTACATAGGATTTCCACATGGTTTGAAATAATGTGAATTCATTTTTTCTTGTGGGCTCCAAATTTCATTTCTTCATGATCTGCCTCCTCGTGGTGGTGCCGGGCAACATGAACCACTCATTCACATCATAGCCTCCTTGTGGTGGTGTCGGCAACAGCATATATTTCTTTACTAATAATCACTTACAAAAATGTTATTGTAACAGCCTTTTACTTATCGTGCAGTGTATATATTGTAATAGTCTTTTACTTCTTGTGCAGTGTATATACTTTGCATTATAAAACCATATCTACTGCTAATTTGCTTATATATAACTTACCTCACTCATTTTCATTCTGACAATTTGCTTTTGCCATGTACATGTATGTGCTTGACTGCTTGATGGCAGAAAGGTCATTTCCATTCACAGCTATTCCATGCATCATAAGCGAATCTACTACATCATCATCATCCAACTAATTCATCTTTCAGTTTCTACAGACATTCATCTGTTGCAAAGAACATTATCTTTGTAAAAGGGAAATACTTCTTGTCTGGCACAAGTGGTGAATAGACTTTATATAATTATAAATTTATACATATTTAATCATCCATATCATTTGCAGATCATGGATTCCTTTCATCAGTTTAAGAGCTCTACCTTGCAAATAACCGGACTGCTTACCAGGCTCACAGCAGGCCAGATAACTGCTGGTTCTGCCCTAGATCAAGTCATGTTCATAACAAATGCCATTGACTCTTCTGCAGAGGCCATGGAAATGGCAAATAGAGAACTACGGAAAAAAAATGCTGCACACTGTAAACAAATATATCAACAAAACAAGACCGTCAAAGACCTCCAACAACAATTGTCAGAAAGTAACATTGATGAACTTAACAATTCCATCTCACAGCTTGAACAACAATTACGAAAAAGCAAAACTGACCTTTCCAATTCATTTGAAGCAATATTTGGCGATGAGTTACAGGATGACAAAGGACAGGATACATCC